ACCGCCAACCTCATCCACTCGCACGCGCAGTGACAAAATGTGACAAGTAAATCAGACGGTGACCCAGTGATACGCGCAAAACAGAACGGTCTGGACACTCATCTCGGTGGAGACCGTTGCGCATGCGTGGGTATCCTCCTGGCGTGCTGGCCGGTACCGATTCTGAGGTGGTGGGTGGGTGTGGGCTGACCCCAGACATGGATGGAGAAGGGGGGGAGGGGGGTGTTCCCGAAACGGGCATCTCGATCCCAGGAGAGCAGTCCCGGCGAATCGAAACACCAGACGGACGACAAGAAAAAAACAGAGATACTGGTATATGCATGCTTGGGAGGCATATGATGACCACACACGAACCCCTCCGTAGAAGCCACGCGGAATTTCTGCCTGTCGCAGGCCGCCCCGCGCTTCTTTTTTTCCCATGGGATATTCGCTAAAACCTGTTTCTTCAAATCTCGAACAGCTCTTTTCGTCGTCCGCGCGCAAATCTGCCGTCTTGTTGAGGAAGCTCGGCAGCGAGCGTAAATCAGAAAAAACTTGTCTTTCCACAAGTCGATAGTCGATCAGTTCCAAATCCCGGTCGAAGGCCCCCCCTTGCCTCGCCTCCCCGCGGTTCACACGGTTTTGACACGTCCGAGTCCCGAGAGAGAGGGAGAGTCAGTCCCAAGGTGCCTGGACAGACAGTCTGGACAGTCCACTTCTCCCACGCGGAACCAATCCCCCTTCTTCTCTTCTCGCCTCTCTTGTCTCCTCCAGGCCCTCCTCTCTGCGCAGAGGAAAAGATTTCGAAACATGGTCATCGGCTTACTCACCATCGCCGCCATCCCCACAGTCATCGGCACCGGGCAGGCCGTCAGCGCGCAGAAGAAGCAGAATGCCGCCGCCAAAGAGCAGGCCAAGTTCAGCCTCACGGCGACCATGACCATCGACGGCAAGCGGGAAGAAGCGCCCTGCGTCCTCGTCGACAACAAGGCAAGTTTGTCCTCGCTTTTTGCAACCCTCTTGCGTGTCATCTCGTCAATCATCTGCAAGGTGCACTTGCAACTTGCTTTTTTGTCTCTTTTCCCACCGTTGGGAACGGGGGAGGGGCGGCGTATCTGGCCACACCCACCCACCCACACACCAGCCTTTGCTCGACTTACACACTAGTTGCACACATCCACAATCGCACATCCCATCCACAACAGCAAACTAACATGCAGTCTTTCTTTACCCCAGCTCTGGATAAACCACAGCATGGCTCCAGCACCGGGACACAAGTTTTCAGGGTACTACTTCAATTACCCCTCCGAAGAGAACTACCGCGGGCTGGTATCAACCATCTCGGATGATCCGCCGATGCTGAACTGGATCTATGTCGACGCAGATACCCGAGCCGTCCGGCACGGGGGTCGTAAAGACACAATCGGCCACGTCATAGGACCCTGGGGCTGGACTGAAGATGAGAGGCATCTGATGCTGAGAGGCAGTGGGATGGGGTTTGTGGCTGCCCTCGAGGACGACGGCAGATGGGCGGTGTATTGGGATCCGGACGGGAGGCTGCGGCAAGGGTACGAGCCGGATGAGTGTATAGAGATTGTCCTGCGGCGACAGATGGCGCTAGGCATTGAGAGCGCATATGTTCGAGATTGAATAATAGCTAGGCCTCTTTTTCCGGATGGTGGTGAGCACCGCAGAAGCCAGGAATGGGGAGGGGTGTGGGTTGAAAGAAGGCGCGGGGAGAAACCAGAAACCTGGAGGAGCCTTCTGGCAGCATGTGCGAATAGACCACCAACGATGCACAGCACGGCTCCTTCGAGGTTTCTGCACAGCTTGCATGGATTTGGCATAGTTGGTATCTGTAACCCGTGAACCCGTACTCCGTCAGTGCGAAAAACCACAATGCCTGTCAAGCCTAGCTTGCGAGGCACCGAAGCAGGCGCAAAACTGACTTACGAGAAGCTTGTTTGATGGCAGAGAATAGAGTAATGGTGCGTCATGCCTGCATTGGCAATGTGATGACCCTCGAGCCCGTGGTGTGAGCATGATTGGGCTGTAGCCTGCAGTAAGGCTTTGCGATGCAAATCCGAGAAAAGCGACAGGGATGCTCGACACCCTCTTCCCATCAAAGGTTTCTGGGATGAGTGACTGACTGTGTGGTGGAGAGTAGAATGGACTCGGCGCCAGAGCAGATCGGGACCGCTCATCGAGAGCATGAGACAGGTCCAACCGCCCCAGCAGCCCCATTGATTCCGCCCCCCCTCCGCATGCCGCTTGGCCCTCCTTCAACGTCATTTCGGTCCAGAACACCTCGAGACTCGAGTGGTGTGACGCAAAAAGGCGAAGGGGTGAAAACATCTACCGTGGAAATCCTGGGTCTCCCAGGGTCCAACATGATCTCATCGGCCGAAGAGGGTGTAAGCTTTACATCCTGTTTTGACTGCTTCCGGATACTGTCCGGAATCAGTTATATGTTGCACCCTCATCCGCGACTCATCGACCGAGAAGGACTTTGAAGAAGCACTCACAAACCTTCGCATACAATCCAGAGCCCTTAATTCCTCAGTTTCCCATCCCACACCGACGGGAAGGAGAGAGTCCATTAGTCCATTTTCGAACTTCCATCAACAAGCCGTCTAGACCGTCAACATGTCTTCCCCCCGTGAGAAGAACAACACCAAGTACGCCTCCGACGAGGAGACCTCCGAGGACACCCAGCAGCAGGAGCAGCCTCAGCGCCGCCAGCGCCGCCAGGGCAACAGGCAAATGCAGCGCCGTCAACAGGGCGGCCCTCTCGGCGGCCTTGGAGGAGGTAACCCTACCGAGGCTGTCCAGGGCGTCACCGGTGGTGTCCAGAACACACTAGGCAATGTCGCCGGCGGTGCTCTGCAACAAGGTGGCGGCGGTGGTGACAAGAGCGACACCCTGAGGTTGCGTCTCGATCTCAACCTTGATATCGAAATCACGCTGAAGGCGCGCATTCACGGTGACCTTGAGCTTGCCCTCTTGTAAGTACTGACCTTTTTCCTCATTCCTTAGTTGCGGCCCCCTCTATCTCGTCAGACTATCCCGTTCCGTCCTATTTTCTTACCGAGAAACAAGGACGGGCTAGTTAGGCCAAGTTCATAATGGGCTAATGGGCTTTTCCTCGTCTTTTAATCAGGAACTGAGAGGCGTTTTCTCCAGGGACAAATCTTAAAACGGCAATCAACATCTTATCGGTTTTTAAACGGAGTCGCGGGAATACAGTGGGCGAATTTTCGACACAGTTTGCTGGAAAGTGTGGGTTTTCTTTTGTTGACCCTGTCTGCCCAACCGAGAGAGAAAACGGTTGGTCCGCAGACAGGGGGGAGTTGGTGGACGGATGGGATATCGGTATCCATCTGCCGCGTGTATTATGAAAGAATTGTGCATCACCACCATCATGATGAGATATGGACGCTATTTCGGGAAGTTTTTATGGGTATCCTATTCGACGTTAGCCAAAGCATTCTAAACACTTTCAACGAATGGTATTTGATCAAATTACTGTCACATGCGCATTATCACACCGTGAGCAGCCGTGATTGACCACCTGCATGCCCAATTCGTTACCCCGAGTTGATGCTGGCCCTCCTCTTTGCAGGCCATGTCAGCGTGTGTAGTTGGTTTCAGCACACCATCTGTGCTCTCAGCCACCCGCTAGTTACACAAGCTCGTGCGGAGAAGGCAAGCCAAACCATGTGTGTTGACAACCGCCGTCAAGCACGCGAAAGGGCGGAATTGGCGGAGACGGTTGCCAGTAAACCGTTCGTAGCGCCAATCTCTCTACCGCCTAGCCACTCTGCGTTTCACGCTCTTTTGGTGCCGTTGATCTTATGAATGGGGCGAATCTCCAATACGACTGTGGGGTCGAGTCCACCCACCACCAGCACAATATTATTGTCCAATCCTGCCCGGGGCTAGTGCCATCGGGAGGCATTAACGGAGGGGGCTGAAGAGCGACTAGCCACACGTTGCGAAATCGACGGTGCTTGAGGCTACTGCGGGTGCTTCCCTCTGTGCCTTGCTTTCGGTGCGCTTTTGCTCCTGGCCCTAGCGTTAGTGTTGTCTGCCCAAGACGACAACTCAACAAGATTGAAGTCTCTTGACAGGACCATGCCCGCATCTCAGCTTCAGCCTCTCTAACCGAAGCACTCACCGGAAAACTCAGGAGCAGAAAAGCAAAAAACTCTGCAGGTAAAGGTCCGGAAACTCGCAAGCAAACTCTCCAGCCACACCGGCTTCGGCCTTCCTAGACCGTCCAATGTCGACGCGTCGTCGCCGCCACATGATGCGATGTAACTTGGTCAGTGTGCAGAGTGTGCGTGCCTGCCCGCCGCCCAATGTAACGGTGGAACGGCCCCCCTGTTCCCTTGTTCCCCACCGCCCATTGCCAATGCAACCCAAGAAGGACCGCATCCACAGTACCGTCTCGACACGACCATCAGCGGCGGGGAACGGAACGGTCGAAACGCTGGTGGTCGTGCAGGGAAACCGTAGCTGAACGGGAAATTCTTGCGTCGCATCCCGGCACACCGGATGAGGCCATCAGCCACTCACATCGGCTTCCGTCCGTTCGCGTGGTGTCTCTTAAGCGACTGCCAACCAGTCTCAACCGTCAAGCCACCTGCCGAGGACGTTTTGCGCCGATCGTTCGCTCCCGTCTCATTTCCTCTGTTCTGGGCTCTCGTCGACTCTTTGCCTCTTTGCCATTCATTGCCTCGTCGGGAACACCATCGAGATCAGCACAATAGCCGCCATCCGTTAAGACGCATTCCCCGGTTCGGACACCGTCTGGAAAAACTCGAGACGTATCTGAAGGCCTGATGAAGCTCTCCCGGGCATGAACGCCATACCGAACTTGTGATGAAGCTGATCACCTGCTGAGCCACATCTGAAGTTTACTCGGTTGCCGCCGGTCTGTAGATGTCTGTGGTCGTCTCCAGGCCCTTCTTCAGAGTCTGTGTCGCTGGCTCGAAGCTTCTGCACCGCCAAAGGCGTCTCTAAGCTGCCATATCCCGGCCGGGATAGCGCTGCAGCCTGCGCAGCTTGCGCAACTGTCCACCTAGTTCTCCGTGCTCTAACCTCCAGCATTCGTTGACGGCTAGCCGTGCGTTCCGTCTGTACAGTAGTTCGAAAAGCAAAAAGCCCAACCACTGAGGAACACGGATACTCGCACAGCTGTTCTGGTTTCGACCAGAAAACAGGCTTTTGCCAGACGTGTCGGACCTTTTGCCCTCCAATGTCTGCGCTGAGCCGGCGCCTCTTTCGGAGTCTTGTCTTGTTTCCATTCTGCCATCTTCACCACCCGCCAGCGATCCCTCCCACGCTTCCTTCTTCTTGTTGTTCTCCGAAGTACCCGGTGGATACGTTTGCGTGTGTCTGGAGCCAGTGGAGACACCAGATCTCGGTTCGACAAGTACTTGATCCCATCACCCTTGCAAGACATCCTGACAAGGTGAACCGTCGCCCCGTTCGCCAGTTCTGGAACCTCAAGCTGCCCCAGCTGCCCAGCATCTGTCACGGCGGCAGCGTACCCACACTCGATCCATCGTCTTCCTGACGTCACAGCAACAAAACCGACCCCCTTCTGCCTTGCAGACCTGGCACAAGCGCTGCCCGCGTCTCGCACCTGCCAGAGCAGATAAGCCCCGTCCGCGTGAGGTGACTGCTCAAGGGGTGCACCGAGAAACGTACACATCAGCACAGTCTCTCAATCGGAGTCGAGTTCAACGCCTGATTTCCGAAGCAAGGCGATCCTCAGGTGGGTGTCCGTATTCCTTTCCTTCTCTCTGTTGGTCCTGTGCTGGCCATCCTGGCCATGCTTCCCCTCACCTTGAAAGCGAGCCCCAGCTGACGCGCAGTACGATTGCTTGCAGAGGACCTTCTGCGGCCATCCAATAATGACGGCATCCCCTCCTTCTCGGCCGATTCCCCCCACAGCTCATATCGAAGAACCCGAAAGCCCAGCCTCGACGCTGAACACACCGCGGACTCTGCAAAGGGCCGTCCCCGAACATCCCAAACCCTCGTCGCATACCATGCAGCGTGCCGAGCCCCGAGCTGCATCTGGCGGCGATCCAGACCATACTTCCCGACACGATGAATATGAGGTTGTTGAAGTCGACGACGATGAAGCTGGGGTAGAAGAGGTCCCACGACGCAACGTCCGGCCACCTCTGCCTCGTCTGAATTCGTCGTCGCGAGCGCCTGGCTCGCCAGCTCCACCAGCTGAAACCACTCGTCCGCAACCCCCCCCTCGGCAGAGCAGCAACACAGGCACCCCACAGCCGCAAGGCCAGGGCGGGCCTTATCATCTACAGGGCTCGCGGGAGATACCCATCCCGGTGAGGAAGTCTTCCACGCAGGGACAGAGCGTGCCGAAAGACTCGACGCCATCGTCAGCAGATACAACAAACAGCCGCACGGATCATGGCACACAAGACTCTCAAGAGTCAAAGGACACATCAGCTGGGTCAACCAGCCCCAAGGGCAAGGAGCCGGAGGGGAAGAATGCCCCCATCCGGATTCCAAGAATCACACCTGTGGCATCTGGCCTGACTATTCCTCCTAACCTTGCTCAGCTGGCGCATGGACTGGAGGGAAAGTATGTCGATGAGTTCGGAAACATCCTCGACTGGAACGGACAGGTTCTTGGTCGTGTTGAGGGTGACTTGCCGTCGATGATCGGACGGCCTGTTTCTGTGACTGGCGAGATCCTCAGCGAGGACGGAGAAGTCGTTGGTTATGTAGCAGAGAACGACACGATTCCACCGACGCCTCCGTCGCCAAAGCCCATCGAGGGCATGGGCGATGGACTGAAGGTGGACCACATGGGCAACATACTCGATAAGAACAATAACGTCGTCGGCCACTTCGACGGCGCGCACTTGGGCAAAGGCCTCCAGAAGCCTGGGCAACCAGCAGGCAATGCTTCTGGGCAGTCAAACGGCGCGCGCCCAGCGGAGAATGCGCATAACAGCGCGCCCTCTCACGAGAACTGCAGCTGCGGTCGACCTAAACCATCGTCTGCCCCAAGTCCATCCGAGGTTTTCATGGACGTGAAGTCGACACATGACGGCATCCAGCTCATTATCAAAATCCCAACTGTATTTAATGGTGGCGGGGTGCCAAATATCCATATTGGAACTGGGTAATATTTTGACGGGAATTCTGCGACTGGATGGAGATGTCGATCATGGAGTTCTGGAATGGTTCTATAGATGCTGGCATGCGACGGCGTTCAGACGGCGGCGAGGCGGGCGTGATAGGCTGGGATCGAGATGTCGTTCCAATGGAACCCGTATTTGGCAATGCAAGACTTGAATATCGTGCATCTGAGACCCCCGTTGAACCGTCCACTAGTAAGGCTGAAAGGTGGGTGAAGTCCAGAACCCCAAATTTGAGCGGGCGCATATTCGCGGCGATGGAGCTGCTCGATTCCTGAGCGTGGCGAATAAAAGGCTGGCGCGCGTGTTTCGAAGAGCGTCATGACGTTGGTTGTGCATGGGGAAATGCTGCATGGCAGTCCAGCCTTTGCGAACTCCGCAATCCTCATTTGCAAAAGAAAGTGTTGGAGGGCAGAAAGCAGCGTCTGGGGTGTAGCTGGTGGGGGATCTGACGAATGGATGATGCAGAACAGGGAGGGCCCTTGAATGCACTAGCCACACATAACTGGGAAGCTCCAAGATGGAGGCCGGGCGATCAACCCCATAAGCCAATGGCAACTCGCCCGACTGGCAGACTGTCACACCATCTCGCAAGGTGCAGTTGCTTTTCAAAAGTCAACTTGCGTCATGAGACTGGGATGCCAGAGTCTGTCAACCCCTTTCGCGTGCTCGGACGAGTGTGGCTTTGCGTCATGATGGGCGGCAGACGAGCCGACCACCTCTTCCACATGAAGTCACAGATGTGGCGCGAACAAGCCAGAGCAGGCCAGAGCTTCGAAGAGCTCCCCAAGCTTGAGCTCCCCTTGACGTAAGGTTGGGTGAGGCCGTAGAGCTGGAAACTTGGTTTGGTGTGTGAGGATTTCTGGTATAAGACGTCCGACCGGCAGGTGATTGTAGCTTTTTTGACTTTCGACTCTCAATTCAAAGCATTCAACCCATGGGCTACTACATCTTTTCGTATTAGCCACATTATTCCATTTTAACCCACTTACTTACACGCGCAAAAGTTGCCCAACATTTCCGGACTACTGTACCTCAGACACCGAACCGACATCATGGCTGGCGCTGCCTCAAAATCAGGAAGCAGCATGCCTGGTGGATGGGGGAAGGGTGAAGAACAGAAGTCAAGTAAGTAATCAACTCACATGGCATTCGAAGTTTCACGACTGACGCGTCTCAGCATACTCCGTTGAGCAAGATATCCAAGACCATGGCGAGAACCTCGTTGCCGGTGTCATCGGCAAGACAGGAGAGGTCGTAGACGAGACCGGCAAGACCGTCGGCAAGGTCACAGAAGGCGAAGCTGGCGATCTCGTCGGTAACGTCGTGACAGCGACCGGAGACATCATCGGAAAGGACGGTGGTGTCATCGGCAAGGCCCTGCCTTTGGGCGAGCTCACCGAGAGCGTTGCCGGAGGTGAGAGCAAGGAGGGCGGAAGCTTCAGCATTATGGGCGCTACCAAGGGCGTCAAGGGTATCGTCGACACCGTTGACGGCACTGTTCAGACCGTCAACAGGACATTGCCTCTCGTCGGCGACTTGACGAAGGGCATTGGTCTGGGCGAAGGCCAGGGCGGTGTCCTCGGCGGTGTTACCGGTGGCGATGGCCAGAGTGGTCCCCTCTCCGGCGTCCTCGGCGGCGGTGATGAGAAGTCACAGTCTGGCATTGTCGGTGGTACACTCGGCAGCGTCATCGGCGGCGGCAAGAGTGAGAAGGGCGAGCAATCAGGCCTTCTTGGCGGCGTTCTGGGCGGCATCCAGCCTCTGGAACGCGACGACACCGTCACCGAGAAGGATGAGAAGCTCACTCAGCTCCTCTCCAACAGGCCCGACGACGTCGAGGACAAGATCTCCCTGACAGAGGACGCCAAGAAGAGCCTCTTCGAGGTCAACGACAAGACCTCCGAAGTGGCACCCGTGGACCTCCAGGATTCCGCCCCGCAAGAACCGAACGGCAAGCTCACCACTGGAGACAATACCCAATCGGAGACCGAGCCATCTCAAGCTGACAAGACTGAGCTTACAGACCCTTCCACTGTTGGCGACAGGTCCCAAGATCTCGAGGAGTTGGAGCCGGAGCCACTCGAAGAAGATGACGCCACCGCGAAGCCCGAGTCCCTCAAGGACGATGCGACAGAGGCCACTGAACAGGCGACCGAGAAGGCCCCCACCCAAGCTGGCACCCAGCAAGAGGACCTTCAATCACGGGTTCCCGACGACATCGCGACCCTTGATATCCCTGTTTCCCAGATTCCCATGACTCTGAAGAGCGAGCTTCCCGACGACCTCCAGACGGCCGACATCCCCGTCTCCCAGATCCCCTTCGATGCTCAGACAAAGCTCCCCACCGATCTTGTTTCTCAGCTTCCTGACGATCTGAAGACTGTCACATACGAAGATGAAGACGACGACCTTCAGTCGAAGGTCCCGGACGACATCGCAACTCTCGACATTCCCGTCTCCCAGATCCCCATGACTCTGAAGAGCGAACTTCCGGAGGACCTCCAGACGGCTGATATCCCCGTCTCCCAGATCCCCTTCGATGCTCAGACGAAGCTTCCTACCGATCTTGTGTCTCAGCTTCCTGACGATCTGAAGACTGTCACCCAGGAAGATGACGACCTTCAGTCAAAGGTCCCGGACGACATCGCAACCCTCGACATTCCCGTTTCCCAGATCCCCATGACCCTCAAGAGCGAGCTCCCCGAGGATCTCCAGACGGCTGATATTCCTGTTTCTCAAATCCCCTTCGACGCCCAAACGAAGCTTCCCACCGACCTTGTCTCCCAACTTCCTGAAGATCTGAAGACCGGCGGCACCAGCGTCACCGACTGGGCCAGAGGTGCTTCTGAGGCGCAATCCCAATCACAGCTTCCCACGGATGCGCAAACCGGCGACATTCCTGCGTCTCAGCTTCCCGATGAACTGCAGACTGAGACTGGCGAGACCGCTAAGACCGGCGAGACCGGCCAGACCGGCCAGACTGGCGAGACCGGTGTTACCAGGACTGTCAAGGAGGATACCCGCAGTGTTCTCAGCACCATTCGCGATGCTATTCCCACTGACCAGCGCACTGTTACCGTAGCTGGCGACAAGCTCCTGCAACCTTTCGAGAAGTTCCC